TACTACTCATCAGTGGCCTTTCCGCTCAAACCCTCTCGCCTATCCCCCCTTTTGCCGACGAAGACGAAAGACGGTGGACAGTAGGCAAGGAGGAGGATCCTGGGATGATCCAAAACGGTCTACCGCAGATGGGGTCCTGGTCGGCTGGAAGTGATCCGAGCTTTTACCTGGAGAAGTGCAGGGGGATGTTTTTTGGCACACCAGAAGCAGTGAAGACCGGCTGCAGTCTTATCAAGTGTATGATCACTTCTATAGAGAGAAGACCAAGATTAAACTTCCCTGACATACTGAATATTAGTGCCAACCGTAATAATAATTATTATAATAATTTATTTCAGAATTTAAGGGCCCGGCACCAAAGGCGAAGACCACCATTCACCCTCCAAGAAGTCAACTAGGAGCGCTAACCCCCTAATTACTCTTCATTGCACTTAAAACCTATGTTGGACCACAGCTAGAGGTACTCAACACTATAACCCCTGTTCTACTGGAGGGAGGTGCCACTACCCTGTAGAGGGTGCAGAGGAGAGTGAAAAGGTTGATTCGCTGACTAACATCCAAAACATGCCTGACGCCTCAGACAACTCAACTTATTCGTCTTATGATGTGAAAGGAAGGAGGCAGCTTGACAACAACCTGCAAGATCACCTATCAAGTGGGTTACACCAACGGGTCATTATAATCGGTCCGGAACGACAGCCATGCAGGAAGCCCACTGTAGAGCCAGGACGAGAGTGAGATCAGACTTCTTGTCACACGTAGTGTGAACGTTATGGAACGCTTTGCTGGAAAACACTAGCCACAGCTACATCAGCTGACTCCCACAAGCGACTGCTGGAAAAGTACGTGGGCAAAGATGGCTTACCATTGACATATGCCAGTAGTAAATGAAGGTGTGCTGATCCATCTGTGTAGCCCAACCCAATTATCTGCAATACAGCCATCACTCCTCCACATTATTACTAGTTAAACTTATTTTTCAGAAGCACTTTTACCTCCTCTTTCCTCATTGGTCACTCGCGCTACGTTTCGGATTACGTTAGTACTTACTTCCGAGTGCTTACAAAATCAGGAACTTCGAAAGTCTCACCAACCAATGGATATTGGCGCCCTCCTGGAGGACCCTTCCAGAATCCTGGGCGGACCTTTAAGCAAGTTGTTTAAGGATTCTCCAATCCAAGGGAAAGCACCCAATCCTCAAAAGTTGGGCCATATAAAGCCAATACTCAGGGGAAGTCAATGAAGTCACCCGAAGAAATACAGTCCGGTGGTGCTCTTACCTTCCAAAGCGATGGAATCGCTAATCTATGATCGGCTGAACGATCGCATTATATTGATCAGCTTCTTTAAGCCCCACCAACACGGATTTCGAGGAGTGCAGTCCTATGTTACTAATCTGCTCACTGCAGTAAATATGTCTACCAGTATTATCGACCATCGGGGTAGAATTGATGTTATTTACCTGGACTTTGCCAAGGCATTTGATTGTGTTACTCACGAATGCCTAATCAATAGATTAAAATTAACCGGAATAAGACCACAGTCCGCTGACTGGCTGTCTTCATGTTTAGAAGGTCGCTAATTTGGAGTTCAGTTGGCTTTCTAAATGTCTGAAGAAACGGAATGCCCTAGTAGTGTTCTCTACAGTTCAGTGCTAGGGTCTCTTTTGTATAATACTTAATCGACTTTCCTCAACAGGCCTCTTCCGAAACCCTTTTTTCTGCAGATGACGTGAAACTATGGAGATAGATCAAAAGTGCGGAAGACAGCGTTACTCTACTGAAAGACATTTTGAAAATTGTCCCTCTGAGAACTTGGCAGACGTGGAAGTCAAGCACTAATTGTTCGTGCCTGTAATATACCCACGAGAATCAGACTAAGCAAGAGCATAGTGGTGTAGTCAGATAACAGTGATTTATTTGAGAGGTCGTGCCAAAGTACCGATGTGTTCCGAAGAGCCGGCTAGTGGATAGATTACGAGCTGTGTATCGTAACATGACAATGTGTCAAATGGAGTGGACACTTGACTGTGTGCCTTCTACTTGGCTAGTCCGTTAAAACTATGAAGGTCGACATCAGCGTTGAATCTCGTCGAACCCTAGGCTTCTGATTTCGTGGAATTATGTGCCGCTACAACTCAACTTCCAAACTGGGCAGTGAGTAATGGGCTGGTACGTAATACTTAAGAAAATGCAAGGTGTTACAGGCAAAAAAAGATGTATGTCATTCACATAGCTTCAACGGAATGGAGCTTGAAACGTCTATGAGAAGGATTTGGTCGTCTCAGTCTCTCAAGACTTAAAATCCCCTACTAGCTGTGACAGAAAAGCATCCCACGGAGACGGCGTTAGTAATCCTTAGACGAATCCTGGGACAATCCGATTTTAGATGTTTCCACCAAATTTTCAACAGCTTCGTACGACCTTACCTGGAGTTGGGGACTATCGTCTTCTCCATTTCTCTGCAGAAAATCAAATTAGGCTAAGAACTCATTCAGAGGCACTCGACCAAATCCGTTTCCAGAACTTGAGTGTAAAACGCATGACAAACGACTGGTTGCGCTGGATCTGCATCACCTGGAATATAGAAGGCTAAGAGGATACTTGATAATGCTTCATAACATCCTGAGCACTCGTAGACACATACTACATTACGTATAGAGTCTTAGATAGAGTGCCAATCTTGGAGGGCATACACAGAAACTAGGCCTGGAACATAGTAGGTTAGATAATAGGCACAATTATTATTATCTTAAAGTTGTTTGAACCTGGAATGCTCTCCCTGCAGACGTGGTCCAGGCTTTTTCGTCTGGACCCTCTAAACGCTGGCTGTTCAGCCGATAGTTATTCGATATGTGGCTGGGATCTGCCCGGAACTAATTGAATTTTCATATTTTAACTACTAATTTGAGCTCTCTCTTTACTTGTACACAGGTTAACAACCACAAGAAGTAATGATCCATGGATTATAGACGCGGAAGCCAGTTAGGCGAAAGCTTCTATTCCACCAACCAAGTCCCAAGAACTGGACGCGAGAGATCAAAAACTATCAGTTTTCTACGCTTGCACTATCAATGTTGGATATCGGATTGGACGATCTCAACTATTTAATTTGGATCGACTACTGTCAGATGCTGGGACTCCCTCCCCTCCCTGCAACTTTGTGTCGCCTTTCTCGAGGAAGCCATGCACCCCGAGATAAGCCCCCCCTTTACGTGTGTCCCTAAATACCGCCAAAGAGGCTGAAGACACACCTCCTCTCGCGACAACCGGACGTTGTTAATGCCTGTAAAATTCGGGCCAGGCCTGACAAGCCATGGTCAGTAAGAGAGGAGGAGAGAAAGTCAGCGGTTGGAAATCCCAACAGAAACAACACTATAGTTGTACATGGGATTCCAGAATTGCCAAGTGACAGCTCGGTCAAAGATCGGTACTTTCACGACGTCCAACAATGGCAATGGCTCTCAACCAAAGTTGGTCTCAACAGTATACCGGCCAACAGCGTCAGTAGACTGCCAAGGCCAGCGCACCTGAAGACCATACCCAATCCCAGACTACTTGCCGTCCAGTTCGACTCATATGCCTCCCTCACAGACGTTCTGCACGCATGGTATAATGCGAAAGATCGCATGGGTGGCTCAATACGTATATGTGAAAGTAAGCCTAGACCCACAAGGCAAGAGGAGAGACGGCAACCACCAAGACCTCTGGAGTCAGTGGTCGTCACACAGGCGCTGACCAGTGAGTTAGATACATCAAGTAAAGAAGCCACCACTGCTACAGCCCCCACCCAAGTTAAGAACAAAACACAAAAAACGGAACAATGCCAGTCCTATGAGGACTGGCGAGGCTAAATTCAACCACGTAAGCGCTCATCCCTCGAAAATACACATCCAGACCTCCCCCCTCATCAGGTACACTCTAATATGTATGTACAGCAACGTTAGGGGGCTAATAGGGAAGGTAGCAAAAATGAGGACGCTGCGTGAACATCAGCACTCCGACATCATATTCATCACCGAATCCTGGCTCTCATCGGACATCTCCGACGAAGAGATGCGTGTTGCTGGCATGGAACTCTTCCGCAGGGACAGGGAACATAGAGCAGGAGGGGGAGTGGCTATCTACGCAAACTCCTGTTTCAAGGCAAGGATGGTTAGCGATACGGCCTTAACCCAGCTCCCAGAGTCTCTATGGTGCTACTTCACTCTCTTCTTTATTCTCTCTTCATTCCTTTACCACTACCTTACTATTCTCTTCCAGGTACCTACACAGACAGGAGTCATGGCAGTTCTCTAAACTTCCCAGCAACCCGTAGCTCCCTAATCACTCTACAAATTACAACCTACTAACCCACAAAACATCCACCTCACCGAAGCTAAAAGCAAGAAAGCAGAGGGGATTTCCTCGTCCACTGCAGGAGTAAACCGAACAACTGGAACCAAGCCCTAAGAACTAGACGCGAGAGATCAAAAACTACTAGTTTTCTACGCTCGCACTATCAATATTGGATATTGGATATTGGATGGCGAGGCGTTTTTGGGGAGTGCGTTACGTCATGCTGTCAAATTAATGGGGAAGAAAAATAGAAAACGGAAAGAATGCCAACAAACAGCAGCCAGAAATAGTATCTTTCGGTTCTTTATTTTGAGAATTCAGGCAGGAACTTAGTGGTCTCTAGGAGTTCAAGAGAAAATGTTTCAGTCAGGGTAATCCGATTGTAGAAATATTTTTTAGGGCCTTCATAATTTAGGCAATACTTGTTATTTTAATGCCGGTATCCAATGCCTTTCGAGGAGTCCGTGGCTCTCAGCACTTCTCGTTTCTGACGAAGCTAGAGAATCAACTTTAACCAGACCTGATGGAGTAGGATAGTGTTTACATCTTTTATTTCAGGATTCTGTGACTACATTATGTATTCATCTGCCACCAATAAAATGCCTTCTTACCTCACACTTTAAGGAGTTTGCCTCAGTGCTACGATCTGACCAGATACCCAACATGAAAATATTCTCTGCTGGTACTTTAAGTCCAGGAGTTAGTCACTCTTAATTAATCGTAGATTTTTGATTTCAGGTTCTAAGAAGTGTATTTATTGAGCGGTGTCCACGATTTGGTGGGTTCAGACAACACGATAGTCATGAATTTATCCGTGCCATACTCGACTGTATGAAACAGGAGGAACTTATACGCTGGAAGAAGGGTATCTTGCTCAAACTCAATGTTAACCCGAAGGTGAGTGTGTTGTGAACTTAAGTTGGTCCCAGTACGTAAATAAACCGTTAGGCAAATTAGTACTCAATCAACCTTTTTAGTTGTTGGACTAATAACTTACCTAAACCTGATGGCGAGGTTTGCATATCACGATGACTGAGCGAGCTACGCTGCCTAAAACAATTGTTCATTGTGTTCCCACTATGCCAGACACGTCTATTGCATAGTGACAAGATAGAAGTTAGCTACGGTTGTACTACTAATTCCTGCACTATCATTGCAGTTGGAGAGCGGCAGCAGTTAGGTGTTACCGCTGGATGAACAGCAGTACCGTGCTGATGCTGCTTTTCCTGTTAGAAGAGGTGGTTGGTCAACTCCAGAAATGGCGCACCTTTCTACACAGCGGTTTCCCAGTATCGGCGGTGTGACTTCTGTCCGGCGTTGACATAATAATATATCAGTCCAACAATCTCCAACCTGTGATTCCCATAACCCCAGGACTGCAAACATGCAAGCGACACCTCTACATGACTCATACTGACAATCAGAGACTTCATGGACGGATACCCTCAGCCTTCTTCTAACTCAGTCATATCCGGGATAACGTTGTACGTTGAGGTAGGTGGTGGCTCGGCATGCGCGACGCGTCCAAACCGCATTAGTCGGTGAAGGCTTACAGCACCGTCTACTGACTTGGCTTCCTCGCCGGGTACCCTTTGCTTAACTTCGTCATTGCTCACACGGTGATCCGACCGTGTGGGCAACGCTACGAAGAAACTTGTGGTCAACATCCTGTAGTCTCGTCATATCTTCTAATTTCAGCGGCCGTGTCTCAGTCGTTTAGTAGGATGAAGTTGACTGGAGTCCAACATACTCACACTTCAATAGGTGGGCACCAGTGCATTCGGATTAATGCAACTCCCCAAGGAAGTGTGGTGGTCAACGCGTTCTAACATTTCGCACCTTATTCATAAACTGGCGGTAGTATCAAACCAGTTCCAGCTCACTTGACAGGTGCGAAAAGCATGCCGAACATGCACATATCTGTTCAAAGATTTCAGAAGACGCCGCATTTTGTCAGCGGCTTTGCTTAGCAAGACAATATTGTCTGTGTATTCCAGGTCAACCAGTTGCCCTCAAGGGAGTAACTCAGTCCCTGTGAGGTCAAAGCTGCCTAGGGTTGTGCCTTTTAATACATCCATAGTGAAGGTAAACAGGGTCAGTGACAGCAGCAGTCCCTGGCTGATACCACTGGTTGTCGTCGGTTCAGACGACTACTTCGTAAACCCTTACGCGACTGAGTTTGAGTAGGGATCTTTGATTGACGTTTTAAACTAATGATCTCTGAATCAGAACAGTCTGACGGGACAACATGTGATTCACATAGGCTATCTAGTGCTTCGCTTACTCTGCTCAGTGATATCCTACATCCTTCCTATAAAAGCTGCTGGCAGATCATCAGGTCTTGCCACATTGCATCGCTACAGGCTTAAGATAGCCCTCTGAGCATACTCAACCAATCGATGAAGTTTTATTCAGTGGGACAATATACAGACTTGCTGGTGCAACGGTTTGCACACTCATTGTAATAAACGTATCGCAAAGACTGACTGTTGTAGCTTGTTGTTCAATTTCACGAAGGGTGTGGACGTTTGAGGCAGGAGTATGTAGTTTGGAGCAAAATTTCACTGGATCTTATCTGCTATTCCGTGAAGTAGAGTAATCATTATGAGCTGCACATCTTAAAGTAATTGAGGATGACCTAATATTGTTTGCAGCGAATTGGGGAAAAATATTGCAAACGATAGTGCAAGATGCAAATGCTAATCAGTGAAGAGTCTAATATTGACGAAGGTGTGAGAGTGGTTGATAATTCCCAGCTACTGACACTATTAGATTACCTTTCTTTAAGGTAACGTGAAAACAAACTGGATTAATAGTTGTGGTACATGACTACAGAGCGCCTGACATCTAGAATTTGACATCAAACGGTCAGTTTCAAAAGTTTTGAATTGAGACTTCATTGTAGCATCCCAGGAAATAAAATCATACTGCCATCAATGAAGGACTACTTAGCAGGCAGGAGTGTGCTTTGGTTGATGCTAGCCTCTTGTAGCTTTTGCTAATAGTGGTCGCATAAGCTTTCAATGCTTATCATCTACTAAGAACACTTTACTGCTGTTACACCACCTTCCTCTGGAAGTACAACTTTGCTTTTGAATCTTCACTAAAGCGTTTGCCATTTGGACTATGTTTGCAACTGATTTCAGTGTTATCACTGTCCAACAGACTATTTTGGCATGGAAAAATGTCAAAAAACAATATTTCTAATCAGTCAGTCAGCTCATCGTTTGTTCATTGTAGCATGCGAGCTTAAAAACTATCACTTCAAGGGCGGAGGATTTTCAATAGGGATAGAAAGTAAAATAGTTGAATGCATTAACCACTTATTTGAGAAGTTACACCTTTAGTAACGAACTGGTCGTTCACAAAATTAATGGTTCCAGACTCGGTGATATACCTCAAAATCGACCATAGTAGCATAGATGTATTCGGTTCTTATTCTCTATAACATTCAAAAAATCTTATTTTTCTCTTTTGATCTCTTCTTTGATATCTTGCAACTTTCATTCAGCAGCTTGGTTGCTCAGATGCATGTACACATTATCTTCATTTTAATTTGTTATGACTTATTTCGTCACTGTCTTATTCCTTTTTGTTCTATTTGTATGACTTTCCTTCTGACTTTTTTATGTCATCTTTACGCGTTTTGCATTGATGCACTGATATGAATTTTAGCAAGTTGGACTGTTACACAGTAATAGACAGAAAAAAGGAATCAACGTAGAACCTTGCACACAAGTACATCATCTCAGGTTGCCACACTCCACAGTAGTGCACAAAAAGCAGGTGGATAGAGAAAGACTGATATCTAAGTAAATAAAGTTGTGTGAGAGAATAAGCAATTTGAAGATTAAAGGTTAGCGCGAATATTCAAGCTTTAGAAAACGTCAAAGAGTGATTACATTTGTGCCATTGTGATAGATTCCTAGACATTTCACCAAAAGTTCTCTACCACAGTTTCGTTTTGTTCCGAGGATCCCAACTAGGCAGTTTGCATCTCTCCACACGATTCAGACTAACAGTAAGAGATTTCTTGGACTGGTGCCACCTGTTAGTGTGGCCACAATGGACCTTTTTTCAACGTTGTCCAACTTTGCCTAGTAGGCGGTAGCTTGGTATACACAACGCATGTACAAGCCACTTCAGTCGAGTAATCCTAAGCTTTATGCTGATCCTGACTTATTGACTGATTTTCAGAGACTATTATGCTCCTAAATGCAATGTGTAGTATAGTATTCTGTGAAACATTCTACTCATACTGTAATTAAAATAGATGTATCCACAATTATGATTTTTAAAGTTTACAACAAGTCCGATTGAGTTCACCTTCGATATTTTACTCAAATAATCATTTTCTTGGTGTGAATGAACAGCGGTATTATTTAGATGTGACATAAAGTTAAACATGACTTCATTTTATTGTCAGGATATTTGTGATGATGAAAGGCAATCAGTTCGCAGTTGGGGGAAAGCTGCTTCAACGGCCACAATTATAGATCGTCTCTTTGGTGGTGTACTCATTAGTACATTGGAATGTTGCTGTTGTGGTACTGTTCGTCCTAAATTTGAGCCATTTCTTGATCTTTCATTACCTGTTCTGGATATGAATGTTTCAAAGCACAAGGAGAATGAACCTACAGGAAAACAACATTCTAGAGGTTCGTCTGTTTCTATATTTTTTCTTTTTCTGTTCATATTGGGATTTCAATCGTATCTGCTTGCATGGTTAATTACGAGCACCGACCTTGATGCGAAGATACTGTTTACGGTAATACAACCTAGCTACTATCTGCACGTTCATGTACACTACCCTATGAACAATATTTATTGTTTGAAGTCTAATGGCATTACATAAGTTGTCAAATGTGGTTATGTCGAGTGGACTTCGTATGCGTGATACTGATCAAACGTACAGCACTTGAAACAGTCAGTCAATCAACGGGGTTTCCATTTGGCAACCATCTATCAGCCAAGATCACAAAGTGTCATGACCTTACGAAATATACTACTGAACAGCTTGGGTAGTTAATAACCATTCAAGCTGATCTCTAGATTTTGTGTCAGGGATCTCATCTTGTGATTTTAACTGATGGGTGGTTCCCAACAGAAATCCTGTTGATGCCACAGTTGGGACAGCCGAAAAACTACTCAGCTTTGAGAAGCATCCACGTGGACTGTGTGGTTTGCAAATCATTTGCAAAGTGAAACGATACTCTTTTAAGACTGTGGAATCTACTTTCATTATTTGGTGAATATTTTTACTCGTAGCTTTCAGTTCTTAGTATGTGAACCCATAGTCTTCTGTGTTAAAATTTCTGCCTTTAAAGTGTTTTGTTTTAAACTTTAGCAAGATTAAAAGTTTCATTATCCAGTTTAGAGCGTTCTTCAGAGTTTAGGGATCCCATTCTACACGCTTAAGCGTAAATTATTATGAGAAGCCATAACGGTGCAGTTACTAACAACCATAGGAGTTACAGGGAAGAATAAAGAGGTAAAAACAGAGTTGATAATTATTAAGGAAGGTTGTTGTATTTATCAAACATTCAAACTGCGCCAGGTTTTGGAATACAGGCATGCTTATCGACGCCCGACAATAGCTGTATTTCTCGACCTAAAGACAGCATCCGACTCCGTTGATCGAGAAGTTTTATGGCAATGTCTCTCACTGACGGCGTGCCGAGGAAGTACGTCAGCTTATTGAAGGCTCTCTACTCGAACACTTGTGGGCATGTTAGAGCCTGTGAGGTGTCCGGGGAGCTGTGCTCATCGAGTGGTGTCCGTCAAGGGTGCCCACCCTCTCTATTCTTATTCAGTTTTATCATAGATAATCTTATAGAGGTCTCCCTCTCGTCGTCACCTGACTACACAAAGGTTTACCCAATCGCGGGAAAATTTTCGTTAGACGTAGAATGCGCAGATGACATTGTCATGTTAGGTGAAGACGCTAACAAGTTGCAGTCTTCTGGACAGATTGAGTGTCAATTTGAGAATGTTTTAGGATGCGTTTCTCACCACCCAAATGCAAATTGTTACTCCAGGATTGGTCTTCAACGGTGCCTCAGCTAACAATAGAGAGTGAGTATAGTGATTGAGCGTGTCAACCACTTCACTTACCTGGGAAGTAGGATCAGCCCTGGTGTGATGGTCAGTTGCTGACGAAATCTCTGCACGGATACAAAAGGGTCGGCTGCCTGGCTGTGTGGCTGTTGCCAACTTGAGCCACCTATGGGGCCGCCGTGATATCCGATTGTCTATTAGAGGTCGAGTGTACTGCACAGCAGCCCACTCTTTTCTACTGTATGACCGTGAAACATGACCATTGAAGGTGGAAGACATGAGAAGACTGGCTTCAAGTGTTTGATCACCGTTGCCTTCGTAGTATAGGCCGTATTCCGTGGTGTCAGCAGGTGAGTAGTGCAGACGTCAGGTGTAGAGTTTTGGGGAGAAGAGGTTAGTTGAGTCAGTTGACACAGTTGTGAACCTTCATCGACTGATATGGTTGGCTCCGATATGTGTTACATATGCCTAGTCTCTCACACAATGTTGTCCGAAGTAGGTTTAGGGTGGAAAAGGGTTCGAGGTGTCCAGAGTAAAACATGGCATGAATATATGGAGTGTTTGACTGTTGGTTTCAGCCATGTGGGGCAATGTGGACTAACCGGTTGGGGTCCGCAGGACAAGAGGAACCATTGGTTGGAGACTTTAGTCAGTATAGCTGGCTCAGAACCGATATCAGTGGCGCAGATGTATACACACATATTATCCTCATCCTAACGATGCTATACCGAATCTCACGATTTTCTCGTTCTTCCTTTCTCTCTTTGAGTACTTTATATTTCTTCTGACTGAATTTTCTTATCTTCATCTTGTGCCTCACTGCCTTTTTACTTGATGTACTGATATATGTGGTGTGGTGACTCGGAGGGTTATGCAGTATAATGCCTGGTCCTATGTTGATTCGGACGGATGGACGGGAGGTTACTGTTTACAAATATACCTGAAGTAACTGCAAAAGAAAGTGGACTAATTATGTTTCATATTCACAAAACTCTTTGTTTATCTTTGTATATGTATATGGTACGTTTGAAATTGTATATTGAAATAATATCACGGCGCAGTGATAACACACTAAAAGTTCAACTCTATTTTTCCTATGAAAATTACTGTTACCACCTGGCCAGTCAGGCACTGACCGTTGAAACAATATTTGAATCAGCAATGCATAGTTTCAAGAACTCAGATGAGCTTATCCCATGTATAGTACATGTAAAGGTTAACAAAATTACTGAACTGTCTAAACGGAAATGGTTTAAGCATCCGCATTAAGTCATACGTTTAACGAAGAGTCACTCTTTTCAACGATATCATTCTGAAACTGTACAATCGCATATTCTATCCAAATGGTAGCAAAAAAGGAATTTTTCACAAAATATTTTAGAACGAAATTGAGTTTTGATTATAAATTAGGAGATCGGAAAAAGATTAACTTAGTATTTGAAGTAGTAATGAAAAGAACACTTATCAAGTCCAAAGCAATATTTGGTTATTAAGTGATGTAATATAGTTAAAGGGACTGGTGAATGTAGTCATCATCACCATCTATTCTTTAGGTTTATAGTGGAACATAGGGCTTCACTATGCTTAATTTTGCTTTCATCGAGAGAAGATACACCGACCAATTGGCTTCCCGAAGACTTCTACTGACCGTGGTCATTTTGTCTCCCCGATTCCAGCAAGGAATAAGTTTATTTTTTATATTTACTCTGCTTTAAAGTTTATTTAGCTATTGGATTGGTTTTATGGGGTAGGGTTGCTAGGCCTGGACCCAACCTTCCCTCTTTATTTTGGGCTTAGGACCGGCTAGTAAACTAGGCGAGGTCGGTGAATGTAATGAAAAATGAGAATAATACAGGTAGAAGTATGTACTACACAAGATGTGTAAGGAGAGATTTTGAGCATAAAATGTATGCCTGCAGAAGTACCGGCTATATGTAGCCCATTTTTAAAGGCTGTATTTCTTCAACACAGTTAAGATCGATAATCGACGACTTCATGGAGTGATGTCGTTGACTAATTTTACTTTTCTTAGATGCTAATCGTTCTTCAATTATTTTAAGCAGCCCATCGTTAGGGAGGGTCATGATTGCCTATTGGTTAACGGAATTTGATTCGATTGGCGCTATGGACTAGACAACAAAAAGTTGATTACCCTCCAGTGGCCAAGCAATGTACCTTATCTAGTCCTACAGGAGGTTCATCATCATCATTATCAACATAGGACCAGGCATTACTGCGTAACGGTCCGAGTTGCCACACCTCATATCAGCACACCAAGTAAAAAGGTAGTGAGGTGAAGGATGAAAATAAGTGAATGCAGTCAAAAGAAATATAAAGTACGAGAAGAAAGGAAAGAGGAGTGACAAAATAGTGAGATTCGGTATAGCGTTGTTAAGATGAGGATAATGTGTGTATACATCTGCGCCACTGACTTCGGTTCTGAGCCATATCACCTAGGGTCTCTAACCACTGGTTCCTCTTGTCCCACCGACCCCAACCACCTAGTCTCCATCGTCCTACATGGTTTAAGCCATGTAGGACGATGCAGGAGGTTAATCGCTGCCTGAATAACTTAGTGTTAACACGTGTGACTATAGCACTGGGTGACGCAAGTTTGAATCACTCAGGATATCAATTCTGTCAAGGTTGCTAAACTGCGAGTGCTAAAACACCTGGAACTTAATTTAAACAAGGCTTCCTACCGATTGCCTCTCCATCCAATTAACAAAACGTTAATGATTATTATCACAACCGAAATATGATGATGTTTTTAAAATATTTTTCTTTCTCACAGGCATGAATAATTCCAAACAACGTCGAAAGAAAGAGGTAAGTTTCAGTACATAGGATGATGCGATTTTCATTTTTAAGTTAGTTGATTTTTTGAGAGGAGAAAGTATGGATATCTTGAAAGAAACTCTTCGTTTTGTATAATGACTACATGGAAAGTATGATAGCTGCTCCCGACCGATAGCTGCTACCTTGACGTGGTGGTCGGGCTTGCATATCACAATGACCCAACGAGCTATGCTGGTGGAACGCTTGTTCCCTCGAGGTCCTACCATACCAGAAAGGTCTGTTGGGTAGTGGTTAGACGAAAAGCAGTTACCGTCATAGTGTAAATTGCTACACTATGATGGGGGTCTGAGGGCGAAGTCGTACTGCTGCTAGCTGGATGGGGTGTGACAGCAGTAAGGTGTTTCCCTTGGATGACCAGCAGTGCCAAGCTGATGCTGCCTTCTCAGTGGAAGGGGGGGTTAGAAAAGGTCGGCCCCAAAAATAACACACTCCACCACGCCCCACGGTCTGCCGGGCCGGCGGTGTTGGTTCACTTGTCGTTTCCTTTCGCTCATCCGGCCCCAAAAATTCAAAATAATCATACTCAAAAGGCTGGGTGTGACAGGCCTCAAGCAGATGTCCGATGGGCTCTGCGGTCACACAAATCTCTTTCAGGTACCTTAAGAAGAAATAGCCTTCCACGGTGTGGGCAGCCGGGAAGTGTCAACCGCCCTCACAACTCTGTCAGCACCCAAGTTTCTTCTGACTGCTATCCTCCTCCTCCATCATTACCTTCTAATCTTCCTTCACGTCTCTTAATTAATGATGCTGCATCATCTTCAATTTCTCCTACCTCTGCAGCCTTCGACAACGATCTGAGTCCACAGAACAGCATCCCTGGTCTCCTTAAACCACGCTCCAAATTACATATTGGAGCCTTCAATGTCCGCACCCTCCGTCAAATTGGCCAACAGGCTTCGTTGGCAAAGACTCTAGCAACTCGGGCATGGATGTGTGCTGTGTTTGTGAGACACGCATACAGGACCCAAGTGTGGTTATTCACCTGACCTCTCCTGACCAATCTGGTGAATCTGCAAAATTCACCCTTCGAGTTTCTGGAGATTCGATAGCTAGCTCTCGTGGTCTTGCAGGTGTAGGTATAGCATTAAGCACCAGGGCAGAAAACTCACTACTAGACTGGATCCCAGTTGATAGTCGCCTCTGCGCTATGAGGCTGAACGGCACAGTGAGAACTAAAAGGAATAGTGAGACTCGCCGTTGTCTCTTTGTAATCTCTGCTTACGCACCCACTGACTGTAGTTCGGATGAAGTGAAGGACGAGTTCTACCATAAACTGTCTAACCTCCTCTCGAAAGCCAAACGTTCGGACGTAGTGGTTGTTGCAGGTGACCTCAACGCACAGGTGGGTAGACTGAGTGAGGCAGAAAGGCACTTAGGTGGCACTTTCGGAATCCCAGCTGAACGTACAGATAACGGTGATCGCCTATTACAACTATGCTCAGATAACCGCCTATTTTTAGCCAGCACAAATTTCAGACATAAAGAAAGGCACTGTCTGACCTGGCGTCCACCGAGCTCGACTCAGCGATGGACACAGATAGACCACATTGCTATTAGTCATCGCTGGAGAGGATCGGTGGAAGACTGCCGCTCCTTCTGGAGTACGTGTTTGGACAGCGATCATGCGTTGGTCCGAGCACGTATATGCCTGCGTCTCAATGGACGTAGAAAAAATTTGGCAACAAAACCACTACGAGTTCTGCTGGACAACGAAAACACCAAAGCCGTGTTCAGTGAGAAGTTGGCTAGGCAGTTATCGGAACAAAAGACTGTCACTCATCCAGAAGAAGCTTGGTGCCATCTTCAGTCTACTGTAAAAGCAGCACTGGAGACTGTAGCCGACTCCAAGATAATGGCTAAAAAGAGCCAGTGGATATCAGCAGCTTCTTCCAAACTAATGGATGCACGTGAATGCATCCCTGCAGGCTCTGAGTACAATGAAGAGCGAGCGCAACTTAAAAATAAACTGACGAAAAGTCTGCGCAACGATCGTGAACAGTGGTGGGCAGCAAAGGCTAAAGAGATGGAAAAGGCAGCGGCGATCGGTAACAGTAGACAGTTATTTAGACTTATTAAGGAGACTGGGGGGAAATGGTCAACAACAGTTAGTGAGGTTATAGCGGAGAAGGACGGATCGGCGATTCACTCGCAGGGAAGGCGACTGGGACGATGGGCAGAACACTTTGAGGAACAGTTTAACTGGCCTCCAGCCACCATTGCGCTGCCCGCTATCCAGTCGGACCCTGAATGGGACATAGAGACAGGTCCCCCAACACTAGAAGAAGTTGAGAAAGCGGTAGGTAGCCTGAAACGGGGAAGGGCAGCAGGACCAGACGGACTACCTGCTGAGGTATACAAGAATGGTGGTAGAGTTCTCTTAGTCAGGCTAACGGAAGTGTTAGCCAGTATATGGGAATCAAATACGATCCCCTCCGACTGGTCTAAGTCACTGATCATCCCAGTCTTCAAGAAAGGCGAGAAGTCCTCTTGTGATAACCACAGAGGAATCAGCCTGACAAACATAGTGTCTAAGATCCTAAGTTCTATAATTCTCCGACGCCTGAGTGGAGCTCGGGAACAGCAAGCCCGAGAAAACCAGGCAGGCTTTAGACCTGGCCGTGGATGTATCGACCAAATATTCACACTGCGCCAGGTCCTGGAACATAGGCATGCTTACAGACGCCCGACAATAGCTGTATTTCTCGACCTGAAGGCGGCATTTGACTCCGTTGATCGAGAAGTCTTATGGCAGTGTCTGTCACTGAAAGGCGTGCCTAGTAAGTACATCACCTTATTGAAAGCTCTCTACTCGAACACTTGTGGGCATGTTAGAGCCTATGGTGAGTTGTCCAGGGAGCTATACTCATCAAGTGGTGTCCGTCAAGGATGCCCACTATCCCCATTCTTATTTAATTTTATCATAGATATTCTTATGGAGGTTTCCCTCTCGTCACCTAATTACAAAGACGTTGACCGAATCACAGGTGAATTTTCCTTAGATCTAGAATATGCAGATGACATAGTCCTGTTAGGTGAAGACGCTGACAAGATGCAGAGTCTTCTGAACACTTTGAGTGGGAATTTGAGAATGTTTGGGATGCGATTTTCACCACCCAAATGCAAATTTTTGCTCCAGGACTGGTCTTCAGCGGTACCGCGGTTAACAATAGAGAGTGAAGTGGTTGAGTGTGTTGACCACTTCACTTACCTGGGAAGTAGGATCAACTCCGGTGGGTTAGTTGCCGATGAGATTTCTGCACGGATACAAAAGGCTCGATTGGCTTTTGCCAATTTGCGCCACCTATGGCGCCGCCGTGATATTCGTTTGTCTATTAAGGGTCGCGTGTACTGCACAGCAGTCCGCTCTGTTCTACTGTATGGCTGTGAAACATGGCCATTGAAAGTGGAAGACACAAAAAGGTTTCAGGTGTTTGACCACCGTTGCCTTCGTAGTATAGGACGTATTCCGTGGTGTCACCATGTGAGTAATGCAGAAGTTAGGTGTAGAGTTTTAGGGAGAAGAGGTAAGTCAGTCGACGAGGTTGTGAACCTTCATCGACTGAGATGGTTGGGACACGTACTACGTATGCCTAGTCACCGATTGCCTCGTCACACAATGTTGGCTGAGGTGGGTTCAGGCTGGAAAAAGGCCCGAGGTGGCCAGACTAAAACATGGCACCAATGTATGAAGTCTCTGACTGTTGGTTTAAGCCATGTAGGACGATGCAGACTAGGTGGTTGGGGTCCACGGGACAAGAGGAACCAGTGGTTGGAGACCCTAGGTGATATGGCTCAGAACCGAAGTCAGTGGCGCAGATGTATACACACATTATCCTCATCTTAACAACGCTATACCGAATCTCACTATTTTGTCACTCCTCTTTCCTTTCTTCTCGTACTTTATATTTCTTTTGACTGCATTCACTTATCTTCATCCTTCACCTCACTACCTTTTTACTTGATGTGCTGATATGAGGTGTGGCAACTCGGACCGTTACGCAGTAATGCCTGGTCCTATGTTGATAATGATGATGATGATGTTAAAATAACTATTGATGCTTTTATCAGTCAGTTCATCTCAAACACTTGTATCCTGATGTAGCTTTACTACAAATCCTAACTGTATTATGTAATAACAATGTTTCAACTGTAGTCTGTGAACAACTAGGGTGATTGATGAATAGAATCTCATTGTCTTACTATGATGATGTACTACTATCATTAGGATATTTCTGCATTTATTATACACAAGATATCATAGTTGCCAGGGTAACAGACGGTTCGATAAATATTTATTGACTGATTTACGTATATTATTCTCAAGATTTCAGATAAACAGAGTCAACATGGGACCTCTCACACAAGTGTTTTGGTTTAAGTTGTTAAACAACTTCACATGATTGTGGAGTACAAAGAATAAGTGGACAGAACAACACTGATATCAAAGTAGAAAAGGGTGTATGAGAGAATTGACAATTTGAAGGTGAAGGTTAGTGCAGATATTCAAGCTTTACAAGACGTCAATAAGTGAATATATCTGCCCCATTGTGATCGGTTTTCAACCATGCTACCAAGAGTCCTCAACCATGAATTCCTTTCGTCTCGGAAACCCCAACCAGGTAGTCTACATCTCCCCACACGGCTAAGATCAACAGTCAGGAACTTCATTGACTAATATCAGGTCTTGGTGTTGTCACCCTGAAACCTCTTTCAACCAAATGCAACTTTTGCTAGCATAGAATGTCGAGGTAGGTTATGGTTTGATATGCGCAGTACACGTTGTAGCTGTCTGAGTTGATGAAGGTTTACAACCTCATCAGTCGACTCACATTTCTTACCTAGTACCCTATCGTCTGATCTCAGTATCGCTCACATAGTGATTCTACAAAACGCAAGCAATACTACCAAGACACCTGTGATCGAAAAGCTGTAACAGCTTTATATCTCATAGCGAGATTTCGGTATGTACAAAAATTCTTATTTTCTTCATTGTTTCCTTAACACCACCTGAATTATAATTCAATAGATTAGATGGTCACATATCAATAACTGAGTTGTATATTCAGACTCATTCTCACTTTGTAATAACTGATATAGACGATAGATTGTGTCAGAACTTGTGTGCAGCTATCGAATTGCATTTATTCATTAGCGTCCTTCCAGCCACCAGTTTTATTTTTGTGAAGACTTACCTATAGTAAGTGGATGGGATAAAGTGATGAGAGGGTTCAGCTATATCGAGCATACAAATAGGTCACTTGCTGATAATCAATTTTGTGCCTGTGTTCTCAGTATTCATTATAGTATCCCATCTAATAAGTGGAATGTGACCATTTGACAAACTGGTTCAAAGTCGTAGTAGGCTGTATTCAATGTAAACGATTTGGCTTCAAGTGATCGATACAATGTTGTGCTTATTCAAGTTTAGTGTAACTGCAACCTAGTCATACTACTATGGGTTTTGTTTGTGTATATGTAGCATTTGAGAACAAAGCGTTCTTATATCAAACAGAGGGTCTATTTCTTGTAACCTGCTGCGTGGCTGAAGGTGAACACCAGAACGTGCGTTTCGTTTTATTTAGCATTGTACAGGATGTACATGCCTCCCAGTAAGTGATGTTCTCATCAAGAGATCCGTACCAAGTACGCATTGCTTCAAACGCCACAGTGTTATCCACTGGGACACGAGAACTACCTCATATGTAATAGGTATGAGTTATTATTGTTTTGATGCTTGTTATCTACCCTTACTATACAGGGTCGAAATTGTTATGATCCACGCTATAGATAACGATACTATAAACGATATAACAATGACTTCTCAATTCAGCTGATATCAGAAAAAGACGATGGGATTGGAAGTTTATTTTCTCCAACCGAATAATAATAGGTGAAAACTCAGTTGTTTATATGTTCTTAGATGATTGAAAGTGTAAAATGGATTAATCAGCTTTTAGTGTCCTAAAGTGCGGTAAAAATAAGCAAAATAGCATGGAGTAAAAAGGTCGCGAAAATAAAGCTTAAACTTCACAATGATAAAATAAACATATTATAAGTTAGTTTTTTTAGGGATTAGCCACCCGTAACAGAAATGCTTGACCTCTGTTAGCGGATGGACTCCTATCTAAATGCCTCTGTTACTACTCGATTGTAGTACAGTCCATACCTCTTGTCCCATGGACCCCAAGCACCTAATCTGCATCGCCACACATAGCTCAAACCAACGGTCAGAGACTTCATACATTGATGCGATGTTTTAGTCTGGCCACCTCGGGCATTTTTCCAGCCTGGACCTACTTTGGCCAACATTATGTGACGAGGCAATCGACGACTAGGTATACGTAGTACGTGTCCCAACCATTAGACTGTTGTCCACCTCTCCCCTCATTACCTCCATCAGATTACAAAGTACAAAATAAATCCTGCTCACCTTTCTTATTTTGTTGTTGATTGACAGTAATGCAAAAAAACTCGATCACACACACATAGTCAGATGATGTTCTCGAACTCATAACTACGACTATCATATTCACTGGAGAAAAATTTGTTTCAATGACTACTCAACCTTTACGTGTCATAATTTTTATCTTCTTAATAATTATACTACTTTCTATTACTATTATTTGTGTTTATATCCAACTGTCTATAGCGTAAGCATAAGACTCAGAAGCAACGAAAACGTCAAACTTTCACTGATGACAAGCAGACAGGTGATAATTATCTAAGTCAATGTAGTTCTGAGTCAGAATCTCATGAAACCAGCCTTAATCAAACCGAAGAAGTTACCAGCTATCCATTGTGTACACTTAGCAGTAGTGAGTGTGAAACTGATGAACAAGTGAAGACGAACGTCTTTAATGCTGAACAACAGATTGATAAACTAACTAGTCGAAATGATCCAGATCGTTTCAGTAAGTTATAATTTTTCTAATATCAACTTTCTTATTTGATTTCTATATGATCTGTGTAGAATTCCTCAAATTTGTAGTAATTACACTGAGTATAATTATCGAAGTATCGTCAGTAATATATGGATGAGCATACTTCGATTAAACTGTCTCATTGGTGATTAGTGATAGAATCTGGGTCGTACGTTTCTTCCTGTATGTGATTCGTCAGCTGGATATATATATCTGCACTCAAGTGGGTGATAATGTTTCCACTGAAAGTTGAACGCAGTACCCATCGCTTCAAACGTCAAACCCTTATCAAAGATCAATAATTATGTCATTTGGTTGCCATGACAACGGTCCACTATTTGAAATTCAAACATATTTGTTATATTGTTTCATTTATGGTTGTTGATTTAATGAAAAAGTACGTGTCCCAACCATCTCGACTGGAAGTAGGATCAGCCCTAGTGTGATGGTCAGTGGCCGATGAAATCTCCGCACGAATACCAAAGAGTAGGCTATCTGGCTTCTGCCAACTTACGCCACCTATGGGGCCGCCGTGATATCCGATTGTCTATTAAGGGTCAGGTGTACTGCACAGCAGCCCACTCTATTCTACTGTATGACCGTGAAACATGACCATTGAAGGTGGAAGACATGAGAAGGCTGGCTTCAAGTGTTTGATCACCGTTGCCTTCGTAGTATAGGCCGTATTCCGTGGTGTCAGCAGGTGAGTAGTGCAGACGTCAGGTGTAGAGTTTTGGGGAGAAGAGGTTAGTTGAGTCAGTTGACACAGTTGTGAACCTTCATCGACTGATATGGTTGGCTCCGATATGTGTTACATATGCCTAGTCTCTCACACAATGTTGTCCGAAGTAGGTTTAGGGTGGAAAAGGGTTCGAGGTGTCCAGAGTAAAACATGGCATGAATATATGGAGTGTTTGACTGTTGGTTTCAGCCATGTGGGGCAATGTGGACTAACCGGTTGGGGTCCGCAGGACAAGAGGAACCATTGGTTGGAGACTTTAGTCAGTATAGCTGGCTCAGAACCGATATCAGTGGCGCATATGTATACACACATATTATCCTCATCCTAACGATGCTATACCGAATCTCATCATTCTCTCATTCTTCCTTTCTCTCTTTGAGTACTTTATATTTCTTCTGACTGAATTTTCTTATCTTCATCTTGTGCCTCACTGCCTTTTTACTTGATGTACTGATATATGTGGTGTGGTGACTCGGAGGGTTATGCGTATAATGCCTGGTCTTATGTTAATTTGGATGGATGGAAGGTGATTAGTAGTCTGGAGAGTTGTATTTCCCTCTACAACGAAAAAAGTTTGTCTAAAGGCCTCCTGTTTTGTGTATAGATACCCAAACCAAGTTGAGATTTGATGGCTTAAGGAAATTTGGACATCATGTAAATGATATTTACTATTTGGGTATTTCGATAACGTCGCAATTAGAAGACGTAGACTAACTGAAAAATATGTGTGATGTATTTGCGTAATACACATTTCGAACAATTTGATCACACACACACATTTACCTGTCAATTCAGGTTATATATGAAGACTGGAAGTGGGGGGAAGGACAGTAATAAGAAGGATAACCCACTTGGACAGGTCAGTGTATAAGTTTCCATAATTTTTTTCCAACGCATTATAAGTGAGGTTTGATAATGTACCTATTAGAAAGGTTCCAGTGCATTTGTACGGAAGATTCAATGGGTGATGATATTAAACTCCTAACTGAAACACTAGTAGAAATTGGATATCCCTTGAAGTTCATAAACCGCTTTGGTTTATGTCACATTACCATACAGAAGAGAACCTAATAGTGTAATACTGTAGTAGGCGCTGTGATCACAATGAATATAAGTAAAGTATGTTCAGAAGGCGACTGAAATCATAGGGAATTAACAGCAATGGGTAAAGATTCTACCCAGAGAAACACGAGAAACAATATGGGCATATGAAGAGCAAATCGAGATAGAAGCAGAAGAGGAAATGAAGCACAATATACAAATAAGAGTCTTAGTGCAAGGTGTACAATATTTGATGACTGCTGTACAAGATGTCAATAATAAAGATTCCTTCCTTCGTCTCCGTCTTGTCGTTTTCTACAATTGGTGTCGCTGCTACTGGACGTGATGAAGATTCCGTGGCCTCCAGTGTTCGAGGATGGAGACATCATGGTCTTCCTTAGGGACTTCGAGCCGGTCGCAGAGCTAGTGAGTGTTCGGGATCCAGGAGCGAAGGTTGTGGTGCTCAGCGCGTTGCTGAGGGGTACAGTGAAAGCGGTATATGACGGCGCAAAACGTGTTTATGGGAAGGAGACTTGAGGGAGAATGGTTGGACGACTGCAGGTGGTGTTCGGTGCCTCAGCGACCAGGGAGCTGATGATGCAGCAGTTCCGGAACACGAAATTTGGAATCTACGAAGACCCGCTGGTATTGGCTGTAAAGCTGACAAAACTAGTTCAACGAGCACTTCCCACTTTGGATGAGTACTCCCAGGAGCAGTTTCTGACTGCACAATTCACCGAATGCCGTCGCCCAGCAGCTACGACTAGTGAGCGCAGCCCAACTTATAGACATTAGTGAGATGGCCAAGGTCACCAGATAGCTAATGGGCACAACAGTAGTTACGGTGGAGTCACCAGAGGTAAACAACTGGAGAAAACAAGTCGATAGCCTTCGAGAGGAGGTGGCTATACTTCGAATGAATTTCAACTGACAAAGTGAATGCTTTGCATGAGGAAAACTGGGACACTGACGAAGAAACTGTCCAGAGAGGCGAAAAAGAAAAACTTTTGAACGATATAATATGAGTTCTGTCTTTCCGACTGGACTAGATGTTGTAGCAGCTATAGACAGAGGTGCTGTATATGCCAGGATGCGAATAAATGATTGGGAGATAGTGTGTCTAATAGATACTGGTGCGGAAGTCTTGCTGATAGATAAAAGTCAGTCTCAGAACATAAGACCATGTGCGCTAACGGTCCACCACCTGCTGCAACATAGGCCTCAGCGCTATATGAACGATTGTGCCATATCCTACCGCATAAATTTACATGTGTTCATGAATAAACATACATAAGGAAGACTAATCGAGATTATACACTTGAGGGTAGGAGAACATGTACCAAAATGGCTACAAAAGTAGCTGGTTTCATAAACATCGAGAAGCTCAGGTGGTAAAATACCATGATCGTTATCCATTGCAAACATATCATTGATAAACGTCACAGAATTGATATTAAAACAGCCTTTACAATTTTCTACAGAAACTGTCAGAGTGGGGCCGTATAAATGTAAAACGAAGCATATTTGTTTTAACTGGCGTTTCGCTATGCTTAATGTTGCTATTAAATTACAAACTGAGATTTGTATGTATACGTGTGTGTGTGTGTGTGTGTGTGTGTGTGTTGGTTATGTCACTATATGAGTGTGGTTGAGTTGAGATCAGGTCAAACTAAGTTGTATTCCCTCCTACCAGTTTTGATTCCACTTTATGTGAAGAGAGTCTGCTATGAGACTTTCTTTATAATTTCTAAAGCCTTTTTGAACAGTTTCGTTATTGTCATAATCGACTTTGTGTAACCTGAAGCTATAGCTGAAGCGTTTTCAAGCTTTTGCCAGCTTCATTGAATTTCTAGAGGGTCGAATGGAAGCTTTTCGGTGTTCACTTATTCACGGGAAGTTCGTCCTATGTATACTGTGTCGCTGTCTGAGTATTTTACCTTACAAGCATAATTAGGTTGGGAATCTAGAGGGATATCATCCTTCAAATGCGCCAAGGTGCTCTGCAATGTATTTGTTGTTTTGTAGAACAAACACTCTGATCATATTCTATTTGTTGAGCACCCTTCTCATCTCATCCGATGTGTATGAGCTGTATGGGATAACCATTGTTGAGGCCCATGATTTAGGAGTAGTTTTATGATTTAACTTAATACAGTTTTCTATTTTGTAAATGCACTTATTTTGTCTTTATGACCAACCTTCAAATTTTGAGCAGAATAAACTTCCCACTAGTTCGAAACATTCTGCATCCCGGGCATATTAACCACAGTAGTATGATGAAGGTTCCTAGTGGAACGTAGGGCTTCAGTAGCACGTCGTCACTGCAATCTGTTCTCTGGAGTCTTTTGAACCTGACTCAACGACTGCCCATAAGCTTTAATTTCTTCCTCACATGATCTCCTCCATATCACCCTTAGACGCTCAACTCTTCGTTTCCCCTTTGGGTTCCTTCCACTCGAGGGTCTGACCTAACACATGATGTGTCCGAATGGTCTTCTCAGTGTATCCCCAATCCATCTCCACCTCGAAAGACTATAATCTCTTGTTATTTTGAAGTGATTCACTCTTTCTGTCTTTAAGTCAAATGCTTTATCATTCATATTGTTTTCCTTCCCCGCTGAAACGATGTTCAGTTGTCTGAATATATTTTCTTCCCTCTATGACAGAACGATTTCGATTTTTTTTTATCCCAATACTTACAGATGAAATACTGAATGGAAGTGAGTGTGATGAAATTGTATCATCAGACGGTAAGCAAATATATACCCTACCTGAATTTATACATTTTTAACCCAGAACTATATGCTCAAGATTTTATACACACTTAGAGTATCGAGTTTAACATAATGTAGGGATTGTGTGAAGGTTTATCAGTTTTCTAAAGACTAACGGATTGTCACCTATGTATGCAGGTTGAAATAATGGCAAATCACACCCATATCACTGACTATATTATGTGTAGTTGATGGCTAAACGTGAATTTACAAATCACTCTTACTAGACAGATGATAGATGTGCTGGTTCGAACCCTCCTGATCATACTATAATGCCTTATTTGACACTACTCCCCGTTAAAATGTAAGCAGGTGTTAAAGGATAAGGAGTAAGCTGTTGGAATGCGTTATTTGTTTCAGTTATTTAGACAGTTGTATCAGTAACATGATAACTGACAGCTGGTGTAGTGAGAAACTGACCATCAGCAATGAATATTCAACAACTTCCTTATTGATTTCTCCAACCATGGTTCAATATGGAAAACATTCACTGTAATAAATTAATGTTAGGTTCACCAAATTCCTAAACAACTAACTTATAATAAGTATATATATATATATATATATATATATATATATATATATATATATATATATATATATATATATATATTAACATTTAAACCTTACTTTCGCGCTCTTTTTCCACGTCGGTTTAAAATACTCAGCGCTGATTGGTTCAATTCATACTTTAAATATGCTATTTTGTTTTATTTAAACAAGGCCTTTTAAAAAGTGTATAAACGACTGCTTTTTTAATTACAAACAAAACGATGGGAAATTAAATGAATCAATTCGTCTCATGATTGGTCGTAAAAGTTAATTCTGATAGGTCAATTCTTGGACTAGTTAGCAATTAGCGTGAAAAGACTGATTACTGACAAAATCTCGGGTAGGATATAAAATACTCAAACAAACAGATGAGCATAGAATTTGATGGTGAAGTGTATCACTTCAACCTGCCACGCTTCACACTAGTATACGAAATGAATGACAAAGAAGCAGGGAAAAGTGTATGAGAAGAGAGAATAAAATATTCAAGACTGTGAACATGACCGATTTTGAGTCAGTCATTGTACCAAGAGTTTCCAACCAGTGGTTCTTAAGATCTCTAGAATTCCAGTCAGACAATCTTGACCTGACCGTCTTTGATTTTTATCATTCGATTTAGACCTATTTCGATCAACATCATATGTCGAGGTAGGGAGTGTCTCAACATACATATGTCTCAGGTTGGTCGGTAAAGGTTAACAACCTCATTGACTGACTTGCTTTTCTTGCATATTACTCAGTGCCTAACCCCAACATTACACACATGGTGGTCCCAATGAAAGTGAGTACCCATACGGACACAAATATGATAAAAAATCTTTAATTTGTGCATGTTTTCTACTTCCAGCCTACATGCCTTGGCTATCTTTGGTATAGGATAACCTCTCAGGACATTCGATGGCTAGAATGTTGGACAGAAAACTTTGAAGCACAGTCCAGCTGCTCCTCAGCAACGCTTCAGTTGCCCAACACGCAGCGTGAACCTAAATGGGACGTAGATGTCGGTTCTTCGACTCTCCTTGAAGTTAAGACAGCTGTATCGAAGCTAAAACGATGGGACGCAGCAAGTTCTGACAGTTTACCACCTGAGGTTTTCAAGGATAGAGGTAGGAAATTATATTGGTTTAGGTAACGGAGGTGCTAGGTAGTGTATTGCTCAAAATCAGTTACAATGACGTATACGAAAAACACCGTATATCAGCTTCAGATCGCTGGACCTTCCTCCCCCTATCAAACTTTATTTATTGGTTTTCATCTCCTACACTGTATCTATTGTTATATCATTCTTTTTTCAACCGCTTCTCATTTATAAACTGCTTTGAAGTGTAGCAATTTGACCTGATGCACTTCTGTGCTAGGTTCTACGTCAATCTGTCTGTCATCATTCTGAAATGTACACTTTGAAGAGTTTAGAAATGTTTATATTGAAGGTTCTGTTGTATTCTTTTAAGTTATCACCGATACGAAGTAGATAGTAATGTATTATTAGTTTTTCTACCGATAAATAATTGTCAGAACTTTTCTGTGAAAACAATCGTTAATTCCGATTATCGCCATGACGACAAACAGACAATTGATACCTTTCTGTATTCACTGACGACATGTCTTATTCGGGCCATCATGAACCCTCTTCCAATTTAATCTTGTTCAATCAACACTACATATCGAGGTAGATAGTGGTTTGACTTGACTCGATTTGGTGAGAGTTCACAACCCCATCAACTGACTTGCCTTCCCTCCGCACTATCCTTCGCCTAGTCTCAACATCTCTCGCGCGGTGATTTTACCAAACGCTAACAATCTTATAGAGATATTTATAATCAAAAATTTCTTAACTTTTTATTCATTCTACCTTCAGCGGCTGTCTCCTTCGCTTTTGCTACCCACCACTGATGGTAGTCATTGCGTAGACGCAGTCAATTCACGTTTGGGCTGCTTTCACCCGTCTTTGTAGCACGAGCTAGCTGGAATCAGTCTCCTTGTATCATTCAGCTCGGATAACTTGCAGAAATGCACTGAATTTTGCTAACTTTTGAATGTAGGCTGCTAATTGTCTTTATAGCTGCTTGTATATCAGACTGAATATCATACAAAGCTTCATCAGTATGAGAATTACTGTCACGTTTAGAAAAATGCTTGGCTAAATCGTCCTCCCTAATTACGTGCTTGATGTTGTCCATCTTCCAGTCGAGCACAGACAGTCTTTACAATTGCCTGTTTTCGGTGATCAGTAAGATGCGGAGATACATACATATTCCTTTACTAACTGGTGATTGGAGTCCAAATATGTACTTGAGAAAGAATGACCTTCTTCCACGATGGCTTGTAGTAGTATGCTCTATCTGTGTACATCGTTGGTTTGATGTAGGCGGACGCTATGTGAGACACTTTCTCCTTGTACTTGAAGTTAGTGCTGTTCAGAAACAAGTGATTGTAGGAACGAAATTTTAACAGGTAATCACTGTCGTCGGTTCGTTGGTTTGAGATTTCGTAAATATCTCCGAGATGCCTTTTCGATTGGTTCATCTTCCCTGCTTGAGCGTTGAAGTCACCTGGCATTACATCTGGACGTTTTACTTTTTGTGACATAATTGACAGTTTTTCATGGAATTCATCTTTTGCATCATCCAAATTGCAGTCTCGTCACAAACACAGGTTACATCTGGGACTCGAGATTGCAGAGTTCTGCAGAATGATGCCTGCTGTTCGACCGACTTGGCATAGGTTTTCGGACGTTGAAGGCTCTAATATGAAGTATGTAACAAAGTTTTCAGAGACTAGAAATAGTGTTTCATTGGCTTGGATCTTTAGAAATAGTCGTAGTAGGAGGTTGGATAGTTTGTAAATGGTTCAGTACTGATATCAGGAAATGAACGCAGGGAAAGAGATGAATGTAAGGAGGGTAGGTTTCAGCGGATTGCGTTTTTTTACACTATTGGGAGTGTAGGAACAGTTTATTACGTTGAGTTTGTTCACCCCATATATGATCGTTTAATAATGTAATGTGGATGATTATCAGTCATAGTGTAGTGGGCGCTGTTGATCACAATGGATATAAGTAGTATATGTTGAGAGGGCGACTAAAATCAGTAATGGGTAAAGATTCTGCCCAGAGAAACGCAAGAGATAATATGGGCGTATGAAGAGCAAATCGAGATAGGAGCAGAAGAGGAAATGAAGCACACTGTGCAAATGACTGTCTAAGTGGAAGTTGCACAATATTTGATGACTACTGTACAAGATGTCAATAATAAAGATTCCTTCCTTCGTCTCCGTCTTGTCGTTTCCTACAATACTTACCTAATAACGGCGTTACTTATCCAGACCGAATTCTTTCTGTTGTTCATTATCAGATCTTTAGTTCATATTGTTGTCGGCTTCAACTGAAGACAACGGCTAAGTAGTGTCTAAACTTTCCTGACTTTCGGCTGCTTTTTCCCACAATTATTTACAAGTTGTTTTGTTTTATCGTATCCCTGTTTTTCTTGTCTATTCTTTTTCTGATGGTATCCATCTATACAGGGAATTGTGCAGATGTTGAAGGCAGTGATCGACATGATAGTGTAACATCACTTCAGTTAATTGTGAACAATGATAATGGTAATCCAGATAGAATCGAAGAAATTGATCCCAATAGATCATATATTCTTACTGAAGAATTTGATAAACTTCATCTCAATTCATCAACATCATCTCAATTATTATTTGATACTGATGAATTAACTCAAGCTATTCATTATTCACGAATTCCACTCAATCATCAATATAATCATATGAATTTAGAGGAAAATTCCACTTCTCTTTATGACTGTCTTTCAAAATATACTGCTGCTGAACTCCTGACTGGTTGTAATCAACTAGTGTGTGATGTCTGTAGTAGTAAAAAGTCTACAGAGTCAGAAACGAGGAATGACAACAAGAATAAGCTTAATAATAATAATAATAATCCACCTGTATTACAAGATGTTATTAAACGTGATTTAATCTACAAACCTCCGCCTATTCTTATGATACATTTAAAAAGATTTCAACAGGTTAGTGTATATAATTGATTGATACATTAAACAATTATTTGATTAATTGTGTAGGTATCTAGTTATTTATTTTATGTTCATTTTCTGCTTTATCGAAGTGTAACAGTGAAGTAGACTTCTTTTAGTAGAGATTAAGAGTAACATAACTGAGATGGTCTAGACTGTATAGATTAAAGTATTGAGTGTTCTTAGAATAGACAATCATTTCTTTAACTTGAACATAAATATACACACAGAAAGTTGTTTCTTGATTAGGTAACGAGGTGTCACTGTATACGAAATTCACTTGACTGACTGAATATGAATAACAGTTGTTCACTGATACACGAAGACAAAGACTGATGCGTGAATTTAAGGAAGAAAACTTAATGTGACAAAAAGCACATTATTTGTATATAATTTTCCATCAGAAAATTAAGCCACAAGGTCACCAGTTGGACATTTATTTTCATTGGTCAGTTGAAGGACGAAATTGTCCAATAAAGTTTTTCCACCCACACAGTAACATGAAATCAAGGTTGAACTCCAAAACTACTATCTTGATGGTTGCTAACCTGAAATGTTGATTACAATTTAGACTGCTTCCTATCAAAAATACTTCTTTAAGAGGAACTGGGTATTACCGCTAAGATTTTCACAATAGGATAATTCTTAGATGCACCTTTTCATTTAAGCTTTTTCCTACTAGCTTATCAAGTGAACGCAAAATGGCCGATAGGACTTGATCAGCACCTAGGACTAGGCAACATGAAATTGATTATTTTCTAGTGACCAGTCAATGTATTTAAGTTCGTTTGTATTAATAGATGAGAAATGTGAAGAGAAAAGAAAAAAAACACGAGAATGTTTCATTAACTCGTTTCGAAGAATAGTTCCGTACATCACTATGATGACTGTTACCTGGAAAGCACAGATTTGAGCACCTTTTAGGGTCACTGAGATCTCGAGAAAAGAAAGAAGGAGGAAAATGATAAAAGATTTATCATTAAGTTTAAATATGTGCGATAAAAAGATGTTTATATTCCTCGAGCAACAAATCAGGATTATCGAGGCACTTAACCAATCCAAAATTTCTGGTAGTGAATCCCCACCTACTCCGCCAAATTAATAGCTCCTTCGATTGATGCTATCGCCAATAGCATCACTGAATTTTACTACGATCTTGATGCCAGTAAGACTTTCGGTGATTGCTTCAAAGTGGATTTTGCTGGCCAAGATGATTTATAAAAAGTACGTCTCTTACTTCGAAAGCTTGATTTACCTGGGCTCGACCAATACTACTGCAATATGATTTCACCGCAAAACCCACGTGATCGCACTTTCCACTTCACTGTCCAGACACTGAATGACATGTTTGCAGAATATCAACGGCTAGGTAGCCTGCAGCGTGATACGAATTTAGCTCAGTCTGGATACTAGGAAGGTTCTGAAGTACATGCAGTTCACCAGAAATCTCATTCCTCCACATCACTGTCCTGTCATACACCCGTTGGTCTTATCTCGCCTGTTCATGGGCCCAGTAACTCATGTCAAGCCCCTACCGACCTCCGAAGAAGAAACCCTCATAGTCTTGGTGGCATTTCGCCAAGTCTTGTCCACGTAAACAACGTCGATGCTGGGACTGCAGTGCTGGGGGTCATAAGAATGGTTTTTGCCACTGAGACACGATGACGTGCACATAGGTCAGCGTTCAGATACCGCCACAGGTCTCGATCGGCAGGTAAATCTCTCAGCTCGATAGCTGATTTTCATGCCCATACACCTGTCCGCCGAAAAAATATCGGGAAGACTACTGATCCCCCTAGTAAACGAGCAGAAACTACCTCTGCGTCTGTCAGGTATGTGCAGGATAAAGACAGTGCGATCCAGTCTAACCCCGAATAACATCCTTTCGATGAGGGAGGTGATATGGGGATAGAGAGATAAGCCTAGTCTGGAGAGAGACCAATCAAAATGTACTTTGTTATCATGTCTACAGTTAAACAGACAGACAGTGGATCAGCCAGTCAATATACGTTTCTTTACATCAATCGTTTCTTCTCCATTATTTAGTCGAGCGGGGAATCAACTGAGAATTTAATGAATGTTGGTGGCTGACAGTCGATATCGTGCATCGTTAGCGGCCGTAGCAGTTTTCGAATTATAACAGAAGTTCACTAATGAATACGTGGTGTTTGATGTAAAAAGTATATCGTACAGCACAGTAGAGCGATGAAAAGGTTGCTAGACTCCGGCAATTAAGCTGGTTTATTTATCGTGGCAGTTGTAAGTGGACAAATTCCCACCTTATGCTGCTAGTAAATGCATCTATAAATTTGGCATGTACACATGCCAAACAAGATACATTGAAATAACAAGGAGCTGGGTTTTTGTTCGCATTTCTGAGCTCATATCATCAAGATTTTAGGATTGAAGGGTCCAAATACACTAAACAGTGTTATTGGTCGAATACAAAAGGGCTATTTGACATTTTCTAACTTGCACCATCTCTAGCGCCAAATGGCGAGATATCTGGCAATCCATCAAAGAACGAATATACTGCGCTGTTCTACAGTTTGTTGTATCCTGTTTTACGGTTGAGACGGCCGTTAAATACGGAAGATATGAGGCGATTACGGGTTTTGATCACAGCTGTCGTCGTAGAAACTGGTCGCGTGTGGTGGAACCACCATATCAGCATTCCTAAGGTCGGCCGAAGAATAATAGGCAAGACAGGCAAGTCGATTGATAAGTTTGTGGACCTTATTCAACTGAGGTGGTTTGGATATGTAGGGCACATGCTAACCCATTGTCTATATCTATGTGACACGCTAAGGGAAGTTGAATTAGGTTGGAAGAGGATTCATGGTGACCAGATCAAGATGTGTCCCCAGTCGATGAAGTCTCTTATTGTTGGTCGGACCCGTGTGGTGAGATGTAGACCCCCTGGTTGGAATCCCCGAGACGACAGGAATCAGTGGTTGAGGAATGTTAATGATATGGTTGAATATTTCCATCCACCTTTATCTGTCAGTCTATGTGACATCATCCAGTTGATACTGGATACAGGCTCAAATTGTCCAAAACGATAAATAGGTCAAAGAACTGAAGCCTATTACTTTTTCCCGAATTTATAGCTATCAAGAGACTTGGACCAAATCTTTGTATTCAAAAGGATACAGTATCATTATAATTTGTTGACAATAAAATGTATCCAAACTTTTGTTCCCATCACTTTAACCTGCATACTTTGCTGTGTCATTCTATCCTTGTACATTTCTCTGAACTCTGCTCACCTTACTTTTCGGACTCTTGTAAATTTGTAGCATTTTGAAGTAATTATCTTCTCTCTACCTCTTCAGCTTCTTCTTCTTCTTCTTCTAAAGTGTTCACCAAAGTCAATCTTCTTATATTCTTAACAATCTCCTTCACTTTGACAATATGTTACTTGAGTTTTTAAGGGATTTGTGAAGATTTAGAAATATTTCAAGTTATTATTCATCGTAGACTGACATCAGTTGGAGAGGAACAAAGGGAACCTGGGAGCACTGAATAGGTGTTTTGTCATAGTATGGGACTCCTCCATACTGGCCACGGAACCTGAAGGTCGCGGGTTCGATCCCTGGCGTGATCGTGGGTGCGCACTGCTGAGGAGTCCCATACTAGGATGAAACAGCTGTCCAGTGCTCCCAGGTTTCCTTTGTTCCTCTCCAACTGATGTCAGTCTACGATGAATAACAACTTGAAGTATGTTACTTGTTGAAGACCTGTTGACTTCTTATGGGGTATATTTTAATATTATTTGGCTTGGAAGCATTTGTGAAGAACTGAATAGACACGGTGATAATCCGACATCGTTAAGACACCTCAAAAGAAGGATTCCTTAGAAAATATGATATATAATAGTGTATTTTTGTGCAACAAATACTCTAAGCTCTAACTGAATGAAAGTTCAAGACGTAGTACCTTAAAAAAAATCAACGGAACTGCGTTTATGAAATGAAATGCGCAGATTGTAATGTTGTATATGTGGAGGAAAGCAACCAGTCAGGTAAGAGTGAAAGAGCATAGACTATGTGTAGGATAGATTTTGGAAACTTAAGCAAAAGTTGGATAGGAATTGGGCTACACTTCATTGAAATAGGCTACTAAATTGACTTAGACAAAGTCAAGGTCCCTTCAAAGGTTTTACATCATATAGAGAAAGGTTGTTTGCTGAAGCCCTACATATATATGGGCAGATTCAAACAATTTGAACATATGAGATAGAGTGGAGTTAGCTGTCTCTTGGCAATTTATAGTTAGTAAGGAGAAAGACTGTTTTGCATCTACCTTCAACACCAGTTTGAACTGCATCATAAACATTATTATCATACTCATCATTATTAACTTATTATTTCAAGTTGTTATTCATCGTAGACTGACATCAGTTGAAGAGGAACAAAGGAAATCTGGGAGCACTGGACAGCTGTTTCGTCAGACTAGTGTGGGACTCCTCAGCAGTACGCACCCATGACCCCACCAGGGATCGAACCCGTGACCTTCAGGTTCCGCGTCCAGCGCATTGCCATTTAGCTACTGGGTCAGAATCCAATGGTCCATATTTCCAACTTCTGTTAGCTCATATTATTATTATTATTATTATTATTATTATTATTATTATTATTATTATCGCTAATATCGCTTTTGTTACCTTAGCCGTTATCCTTAATGTTATATTTATTATGGCTATTATTATGATAATTATCGTTACCATTGTCATCATTTTTGTCATTATTATCATCACCACGACTATTGCTCTTGTAATTAACACTATTATTATTATTATTATTGACATTATTATCCTTATTACTATTACTATCGTTATTATCATTATCACTAGTATCATCAATATTATTATCGCCGTTATTATCAATATTATTACTATTATTGTCACTATTTTCATCATTATTACCATTATTATCTTCTGTCATCATCGTTATTATTACCACTGTCATTACCCCCCCCCCCCTCATTATTATTTAATAATGCTACCATTGTTATCCCTATTATTATTATCATCATTATTGCTATCATTGTTCTTACTATCCTTCTTATCATTACCATTATTACTTTGGTTATCATGATCACCATTATCATGGGTATTATTATTATTATTATTATGACGAATACTATGACTAATATCATCACTGTATTTCGATGAATCGGTGAAAAAACTAATACAACTCATCCACTACATACCAATCGAGCTGACATACATGTCCATCTAATATACTGAATGACTACAATATTACCAATGTCAGTGTAAAACTTGGGCACTGTGGTCGAGTGTAATTCCATTTTACATTGAAACAGCAGCATTTACTGGATAACGTTTCAGGCATAATTTATTGTCCATATTCATATCAGGTAACTCCACAACTTCGAGACAGTCTTTATATATTCCTAGTTTTCTCTTCTTCTCTGTGATGACAAGGGTAGTAGAGTTTTCTGGATATCTGGGACAGGTGTAGAATCTATCCTATTCCTGAATGTATTTGGTGTTGATTAGATAAACAAAGATTCAGTCGGTTATCAATCTCTCCCTCCCTCCAGCTAACTAAGTTAATTTCCAATACTGTCACTCTATCCCACCCTACTGTGTGATTGTGTGTCATTGTAAACAGTTATAGCCGAGCTTTTCTCTAGATTTCTTATCTTATTAGGATCAACTGATCTTGATTTAGCTAAGTTTTTGTGCTGTGTTATTCTAATCGACCCTGATCGACTGCTTTGACCTATGTACTTGACCTTGTAATCATTGCAAGGGATCTGGTAAACCAGATTATTTTGCTTAATTGTTTCTAAGTGAGTTTGTTGGTTTAAATGCCAATTTATTCCCACCCAGTCTTATTGAGAATTCTTCGTAATGCTTCTGAGGTGCCTTCTTTGAGTGGTAACATAACAGAGGCTTTGAATTCTCTCTTAACCCTGTCGCCATTATTACCACTAGTAGTGGGATTATTATTAGTAACATATGTATTACTATTACCACTGCTAATATTTTTCTTTCGATTCCTTATGAATTTATCTTTAAATTTTGGTGGGTTATTGTTGAGACGTAGGGTATTCTTGATGTGTCTGATTTCTTGTCTCAGATTTTCCGATCTACAGGTAAGCTTTTTCGCTCTATCACTTAAGCATTTAACTAGGCCTACTTTAACTGAAATGGGGTAGGAGGATTTGAAGTTTAAGTAGCGATTCGAATGGGTAGGTTTCCTATAGACACTAGTCTCTAGATTTCCTTCTTGTGTACGTTTAATCTTGCAATCCAACATTGCTAGCTCACTTTCTTCACTTTCACAGTTAAATTGGATTGCATCCACTACTGAATTTATACGTGCTAAGAACCGATTACCAATGACCCATTTTATCTAGTATTTACAATCAAGGAGAATATGAATACCCCCCCCCCCCTTTACACACACACACACATGACAATTGGTTTTAGATTTTTATGATAATTCTTAAGATATCTACTCTTCTTCGTTAATTCTTAATAAATATTCGATTAAGAAAGGATAATCTAGTTGTTTTCAAACTTCAGGTTGGTATACATTTAAGAAAATCACAAAAACGTATAAATTTCCCTATCTACCTGGATTTATCACCATTCTGTTCAGTTCTAGTTGTGGTAAGTCACTTTTTATGCTTGTGTATTTGTACATGTTTGATCTAAACCTAAATTCTTTTCTTCTCCTTGTAAATAGTTATCAGCTGTAATCAGAGAGAAATTCTTAGAACTATATTCCTATGATAATTGGTATAGTTTTTACTGGTGAACAGCTGAAATGTATGTATCTGATATCTTGGTTTAAATTAAAATTATTAAGCAATTCAATAAACATTGAGAAATGAAACCGAATCAAATTTAAGTCAGTCATTATATATGGTTTTTGATGTTATGCCTTATAAACGAACAAAGCGCATTCAGCTACCTTGTACAGTTAGCAGTAAGCCAGACACTTATAATTGTATGAGGGTTACCTACCAGACTGTCTAAACTTCAGTAGGTGGACCAAGGTTAATAATAATCATCTCCATAAACCACTGAACTACATCTTCTTCATTAATTGAACTGAATAGATAGTCTACTATTGATAATATAAACTCATTTGAAGATTCTCCATTATTGCCAGTATTTTCATATTAATGATGGATTGTGGCAAGCAATAAAATCCAAGTTGACGTGCATATCTTACTGATTCATAAACTATAACATGGATAACTACACTATACCTTGGCGACTAAAGAATGGCTATCATGACTCATTAACCTAGAGGATAATACTCTAATGTTTGAATCGATATGTTTTGAGCTAGAGTCCAGTAGGATTATCTTTGTTACAGTAAACTTCTTAGAGTTGATTTAAACTTGAATATAATCGTGTTAGGTGAACACTCCACCAAGATGCAGAGTCTGTAACCTACATTATGTAAGCTAAAGTAGGTTCAGATTAGAAAAAAATGTAAGAAACAGTCAGTCCATGAAGTCTCTAACTGTTGGCCTCCCGTTTTGAGGTCCAAGTGTTAACTGAAACTAGTTGTACTTGAAGACTATAGATGATACGGTTGAGAATCCGTCTCAATGGTTCATATTCATACAACACCTCATCTTGATAATTCCTGTAAACTAACATGTTGCTCTGACTCATTGACTTAAAGAGTTGACTTTCAACCAATAAGACATGGGTTCGAATCCCACTCAATCTACCAAGGCTTAAGCAACCAATAAAATTAGTATGGTCAATTGCTTACTGCATGAATATACACACTAAGCTGCTGAATGTATTTCGACTTCAACTTTCAATTACTTTCTTGCTGAAGTTTCAGGTGGTAAACGTTTCATTGTCATGCTAGACGTAATCATCAGTGTGTAAACGATTGATAAGGAAGTGAAGTCGTTAATTGTGCATAGAAATTTATCTCATGCTACTTTACTTGCATTTAATCTGATGATTAGTTAGTGAGCGAGTGTTGTGACGTTTCTTGTGTCTGATTGGCTGGTTTTTCGCCCTTTATTTTTCTCATATGGACTCTTCTGATTAGTTGATTTCTTTTGTCGATTTGCAGCACATTTTAGTTACATTGTTGCAGTTGATTTGCCTCATCACCTGAAATAGCTTAAACCAATAGTTGAAGACTTCATACATTGATACCATGTGTTGTCCACTTACACTACACGCATAATCATTTCAGTTTTGCTCATTGACAAGACTATTATCTCTAGTTGTTCTATGTAAGACAAGAATAGCAAATGGAACTATCTTTCCTATCAATACTTTATTGGTTGATTTGCTCTTCTTAGGTGGGCTAACTTGAACGGTTACGCAGTGATCCATCCCTAAGAATGATGATGATAGAGTATTGATAGTCAAATGACTTGTAATTGTCTGTTTCTCACTTTATTGTTATTTTGTAATTTATGAAATGAATAAACAGATTATTCTGTTACTTTTCATAAATTATTTCAGTCTCATTCTAGTCAAATTCGTTATCGTCTCTATGGTGTAATTGAGCATACAGGACATCTTACATCAGGTCATTATGTTGCATATATAGCTGTCCAAAAATTAAATGGAATTATTAATACACTTGAGAATCAGTCAAATTTACTACTGAATCGATTTATTGGTCCTTTGAATCGTTCACCTAAATGGCCATTATCTGTTCAAGATTTAGTTCAACGTCTACGTCGATGTGATCATCATCGACTTCTGTTAGCAGCGAATAATTTGACTAGTTCCAAGTTATTGTTATTTTCACAACTTCAAAATAATAGTAGTCCAATCAACAATAGCATTCATAGTGATAAAAAGGACTCATGTAATGCATTGAATCATGAAGTGGATGTGAACGATTCACGTTCATGGTATTATTGTTCTGATAATCATGTGTCACATGTATCTGAAGCTACTGTACTCAACTGTCAACCGTATCTTTTATTCTATGAACGAATTGAATAAAACAGAGATGAAGATGATGATCTGGTTTTGTCTCCCATCTTTAAAATGTAATTTTTTTAAAATTTCACTATTAGATGCATTCTCATATGAGTTTGTACACTTTATCAGCTGTTTTGCTACTGTAAATAGTCCCCGTTTTGTGAATATATTGAAATTTGAAGAATATTGAGGTAATTGTATTTGTGAAAGAGTTTTGTATCATGTTACATTCTTTGTATCTGCGTCCAGTTTGAGCTGTGGGTTATTGCTTTGAACAGCTGATTTTCAACTATTGGGTCATAAGTTCGAACCCCGTTCCACTTACCGAGGTTAAGGCAGCCATGTAGTAGCGGTAGTAGTAGTAACATCAGCCCTCACATAATAGATGTGACTCATTACCTACTGAAAGTAAAAGCGGTTGTTGACAGACAATAAACGTAGAAAGTCAGACCCAAGTGGATCCGTTCGAGTTGCCACACTTCACAGTAGTACACAAAGTAGACAAAGTTGTGTGGGAGAATAAGCGAATGTTCAAGTTTGGAAGGTGTCAAGGGGTGAATACGTCTGTACCGCTGTCAGCAACTTTCAGTCATGTTCCTAAGAGTTCTTAATTACTGATTCCTATTGTCTACATCTCTCCGCACGGCTGAGACCAACAGTCAGGGACTTCGACTGGTGGTACATCTTAGTCTAGACACTTTGAACCTTCTTTTAACCTAATCCACCTTCCCCTGGCATGGCTTAACCGACAGCTACTACGCTGACTTGGTGATCGGGCTAGTATATCACAATAACGCGTATTCCCTCGCGGTCTCGTCATACCCGAAACGTCTGTTTGATAAGGCTTAAACGAAAATCAGTTACTGTTGTTGTGTAAAATACTACACTATGATAGGGATCTGAGAGCGAAGTTGTATTGCTCCTAGCTTTGTGGGATGTGACAGCTGTAAGGTACTTCTTTTGGGTGACCAGGAGTGGCACGTTGATGCTGCTTTCCCTATGAGAATAGTAGGGGAAGTTACGAGAACTCTTGTTGAAAAATAACACCCTGTTGTGGCATGCCGATTCCTGCAACAGGTATTCATAGTCAGATTCGAAAGTAAGTAACGAAAATCTCAAACTTACCAAAAGGCTGTCTGTGACCAGCTTCAAGCAGATATCCGTTGGGCTCTGTGGTCACACACTATCCCTTCATTTTCTTGTACACCAACAAGTGGTTGCTGAGTTAAATAGTCTTTTGCTGGAATTCGGATAGATTCAGTCTTTGATCATTCATTCGACTGATTCATAACCACCATTTTCTCGTCTGGTTGAGTTTTATTGACAGAATGATTTTGTGCCAGTAATACTATACTCCTACTTAATTCACTTTCATGGTTCCTTGGAAAACGCAGTAAATAAGCTTGACTGAAAGAAACCAAATCCCATGTGCTGATAATTACAAACGAATCTAGTTCAAACCAACAAGTGAACTAGTTTTTTCCTCAAGGTTACTCTAAGGTCCCTTACCAGACATGCGAAGGAACGCTTGTTGATTATCAAGGAGCTGAAAAAAACAGAAAACTTTTTACAGATGCATCTGAGAGAGATCAAATAGTCACTAAGTGTAGGACAAGACAATTCCTATTATGAACTACTACCGTTTTCATTGTTGTTCCCAGACAGCTAGAGCAGTAACCATTAAAATCATGAATCTAAAGTTTGTGTGTTCAGAAAATGTTCCTAATTTCTCGGGTACCTCAACCAAGCAGTCTACGTCTATCCACATAGCTCAGGCCAACAGTAAGAGACTTCATTGACTGGTGCCAGGTTTCGATGTTGCCACCCTGAACCTTCTTTCAACCTAGTTGAGGTTGGATGTGATTCGGCATGCACATTACATGACCCACGATTTCAAAAACAGTAGTATACTCTGATTAGTCCCACTAGGTGACTTGTGTACTTCGTCGAGAACTTAGATAAACATTTATTATCATGGATACTGCCGACCTGCTCATCGAAACTTTCTTATGAATCTTGTGATTTCCGACAGGTGAACTGAACATTTCACATTTAACGTCACAAGACTGAAAAAGAGAGTTTACTAATACTGACTTCTAACATACACTTCATTCTTGATCATATCTAGGAATGTGGTGACGTGTTAGTTGGATAGAGGCAATCAGCAGGAACATATCTTTTTGGTAGATATATATATATATATATATATATATATATATATGTAGGTGGACTCTTGAATAATAATACCTGAGGGTCGCTCAGTTCCTCAAAAACAGAAAGAAGCGTCAAAAACGATAAAGGTTTATTATCAAGTCGAACGTGTAAGAAAGTAATGGTTTGTATACATTTTCTATGGCTTAAGCATATTCTACACTTTTCCAGAAAGTTTTCTAACTAATCTGAGACTCACGCGAATGATCACATGGTTTTTGTGAACATCCGGCATGCTAAGATTGACTATGAAGGCTGCTTTAAAGAATCTAGGAAATATCATCGTACACTATTTCGGCACTCATTAGTAAGGCAAATATCTACAACCTCAATGAGACTGATGACTCACCTAAGATTCGAACTGGCGTCACTCAGTGCTGCGGTCAGAGACATTATCACAGATATTCGTGGTACGATTGACTTCCTAGAGGACTTCATGTGTCCAGATTTCACGTTCCATTCGAACATCGTACGTAACCTTTCCATGTTGCTGGACAATACACCAAGTTGTCATGCTCTGGTCGATAGTTATCTACAAAAACAGTCAAACTTTCGGTATTGAAGTCCTAGGCATCATAACGTGATGTGCTGTGCACGGTCTACACCCCCAACAGCGCTTCTGCTAGCGACTGTTGATGAGTGGAAACTTAGGGCACCCGTATTCTTAGGCGGGAAATAGGATTAGAACCATATTGTAGACATGATACGACGGGAGGTTCTGTACACTGGCTAAGATTAGGTTGAAAAACACCTGAAGGTTGAGGTGGTGTTTGTATGTGGTTACAGAGGGAGCTGAGTGAAATATCTGATAACCCTAGTCGGTTGAACCAATCCAAACTCAATAAATGTAGGCCAGCTTTAGTCATATAACAGCTCCCATTAATTGGATCGTCACTAAGGAAGACATTACATACGAGCTTACCAGACAGTGGGAAATGGTCTTCTAATAAAAATATAGATATTTTGATTCCACAGTTCGCTGTATATAAATTCTACGCTTTTCATTAGTGAATTCGAATTACACGTGTAATGGAACTCACATATTTTATCGACAAATTGAAAACTGTTCTACAAATAACTTGTAAAATAGTTTCCACTTTGTTGTAACGCTTGTGGTGCTGGGGGTTTGATGTGTGAAGAACTGGTCAAAGCGATAGACAGATAACCCGTTTATATTTACCTACGGGAGATAATATATTCTTAGTGTCATTGTATCACACTAGCAAAATGCTGATCATTACAAAAACATAACTTTCTCTGTGAATCTGTAATTAACGACTACTGCAATTATTACAAAGTCCAAGTGTACACTTATTATTCGTTCCTATCGGTTTCAATTACACAATACAACTTATTCAGGCAAAACCTTTGGTCATTGAAGTGAGATAAAAATCTTGTCAGCAGCTAGGCCTCGTAACTCAGTTGGTAAAGAACCGAACTGGAAACAGGGTGATCGCTGGTTCGAATGCTGCCGCGGTCCAAATTCTAATCTCACCTGTAATCATCACCCATTCAAAAATTATTCTGCTGGATTTTAAATCTTTAACAGGTTCATGTACGTGAAACATCTATTAGGCTGCGTACATGATCATCATCTGAAATCAGTTATGTAACAGTTGGACCTATGGCAAGCTTGGAGTTGATAAACAACTGAGCATTTATTTGGACAGTTGGTAGTTATACATACACCAAAGGTATGTATGTCATTCTCGTTTGTGACCAGAACACTTCCGTGGGATCAAAACCCATAGGGGATTCAAGACTGCTGATGAGTGCCGACGAACACGAAACCTAGTCTCAGGTTTTCCTACGAATGACTTTCAAACAATTAAACAGCATTCTGTGAGTTATTCCTCATTTGAATATTATTGAATCCATTTCAAAGCAAGGAGATTAATATGTAATTATATGGTATCTTAACTGATTTCATGATGTATACAACTGAGCACGTTGAACATTTCACTTGCCTGGGAAGTCGGATCAACCCTGGAGCTTTTGTCAATAGGCGACGAAATCTCTGCAGGGATAAAAAAGGCTCGGTTGCCTTTTGCCAGTTTACGCCATCTGTGGCGCCGCCGTGAAATCCGATTTTCTCATAAGGATCGAGTGTAGTGTTGTACTGCATGCCGTTCTGTCCTACTACGTGGCTATGAAGATACTTGATCATCGTCACCTTCTCAGCATAGACCCTGTTTCTTCGTATCACCACGTTAGTAACGCAGACACAATGTTAGCCGAAGTAGACTCAGGCTTGAAAAGGTCTCGAGGCGGTTGTTAGACTAAAACACAGCATCAATGCATGTAGTACTTGACTGTTTGTTTGAGCCATTTAGGGTGGTGGAGACTAGCTGCTTGGGGTCTACGGTACAAGAGAAGCCATTGGTTGAAGACCGTAAGTGAATCAATGTCAGTGGCGCAGATGCATTCGCATGTCGTCCTCATCTTAACCTCTATACTTAATCTCATCCCTCCATCTTCTCTTTTACTACTTCTACTTCGTTTGACCGATTTTTCTTCCTTCTTCTTATATTTTATTGTCTTGTTTTCTGATGTCATGATATAAGGTGTGGGAGCTTGGACCGCTACGCAGCAATATCTAGCTCATGTTGAAACTGATGATGATGAAATTTGTACTCAGAAAGAGACTGTAATTAATCTTCCATTTTGATTACATAATCTCCTCGTAAATTGCTTACAGAACGTTAATCATTCAATCTAACATTTTCCCACTTATTCATACAGTTATACAGCCTATTAGCTATTTAATATAAGAGTAAAACTTATGCACTGTAGTAGAATGTAATTTCATT